TACTATATATATATATATATATATATACATATATATGTATATATATATATATATATTACTTAATTGTTACGATTCTGAATACCTACCCGTTGAAAGTGATGGAAAAGTTTCTGTTTTTCCACCAAGTCCCATGTATATAACAGCAAGAATTCCAAAAAATAAGGCAAGTACCACTACTAGAATTACAGATACCATATTGTGATTATTCCGTACATCTTCCCTATTTGTAGGTGATTGTTTAAACATTCTGTTCACTGTTTCTCGAGATCTATCAGTAGATGATGTTGTATGTCTAGAACTGGAAGATATTCATTTTATATGGGAAATATTAATTTTATGATATAATTAATAAATAAATTCAAAATTGATAAATATAATTCAATATAATTTACGATATAATTTACGATATTATTTACTATAATAAAATCTCAATTGATATAACAAGATCATTTTACTAATTAAAAGATTATTAAATTAAAATATTAAACATATATATATACTTATTGATATTAGTACTCATTGATATAATTCATTGATATTAGTTATATTCAAATATTCATTATTCAAATATATCCAGATATATTCAGATATATGACTCATAAAAGTATTTTAAATTTTAATTTTGTGAATTGATGTACATATTTTGTTTATATAATACATATATTTATTATTATTAATATTATATTATTTTGTTTATATAATACATATATTTGTTTATTTTTTATTAATATTAAATCCCTATCTTTTTTAACTAGTAGTTATTATATTTGTAAAAATTAATCTATAATTTTTAAAGAGAATGTACATAAGAGAGAATGTATATAAAGCATAAACAGACAGACATTGTATAATCATTTATATTTTTCAAAATATTTTATATTATTTATTTATAATTTTCATTACTAATATTTAAATTTAAATCTTTAATTGATTTTATAACTTATATTGAATTTTTTAATTATACATACATACCTTGAACTAGATGATGGATATAATGATCTTAAAGAAGAAAAATGACCATTTGAATCTTTTTCTTTTAAATCTGGTACATTTGATGTAAATCGTGATGGACCTAAATGATAAATATATAAAATAATAAAAAATGAATTCATTAATATACATTGTGCATTAATTATATATATTTAATAGATATAATATATATATATATTTATATATAATTATATATATTTAATAGGTAATCTTACTTTTTAATGTAGATAAAGATGTAGATGGTAAATTAATAGATGATCGTGAACTTAATCTCCTAGTAAATTCTGATAAAAATGGTGTTTCATAATTTGCCAAAAGATCTCTTTGATTTGTATTGTCTTTTATACATGTATCTTCATTTAATGAATGTATTGGAGAAATGTTTGAATCAAAAAGTGATTCACTATATTTATTATCTTTCACTATGTGAATAGATTTTGGTTTTGAATCATATGATTTTGGAATTTGATCTTGATCAGAAATATTATGCTCATAGATTTTAGGTTCTTGAAATTTTCCTGTGTTAGATAAATATTTAGATGGAGAATATTTTTTAATTGGTTCTTCAATAACATCTGAATCTGAACCAGTTTCCAAGCCATCAGTTACACTTGATTTATTTGTTTTTGTATATTTTTTATGAGTAGTTTTTGTTATTGTACGAGTTGTAAATTGTGAAGAACTATCATAATCTGGTACTATAGGATCTTTAAATTCAGAATGCGTTATTTTATCTTTAATTGGACTTTTTGATATATTTACATCAGAAGATGTTAAAACTGATGCTGGTGGAGGCATAGGATTTGCTAAAGTTTGTCTTCTAATATTTACTGTTGCTTTTTTCTTTTTATTAATTGTTGAACTTGTGTCATCATCTGTATCTTCACTGCTATACCTAATATATAAATATAATGATAATTTTACTATAAAATTCATTAGAATAATTATTAAATAATGTATATAATTATAATAAAATATAAAATAAAAAATTGAAATAAAATTTTCTATAATAACATATAAGATATATAAGGTAAACAACAACAAAATAATAGTATTGAAGATTTTTCATATTATAAATAATATTTAAATTTGATAATACAAATCAAATAAAAATAAAATAAATACAAAAATTTAAAATTAAATTAAAAAATTGCAAGGATATCGTAAACTAAAAGTACCTGGCAGCTAATGAATGTCGTGACCCTGTACCGCCTCGAGTTTCAATGAGATTTTTTAATTTTTTTACAAGAATTTTCCTAGTGGTTTGTGTTACGGGACCTACAGGATATCCATATTCCATCAATTTACTTCGCAATTCTGAATCGCTCAAAGCATCTACCGACATTTTGTTTATATAAAAAAAAGTGCTCTTCTTAAAAGAACCCGGTAAAATGTTGCCTCGTGTAATACGAAGCTCTTACTACGTTTTTATAAAATGTAATTAAAATTTCGTTCAAATCACATAAATCAAAATTCGCACTATCACTAAACTGCACATGTATTACGTTTCAGAATATCATGAATATTTTTCATAATACTACACAACTTAAAAAATAATCTTGGTTATAACTAAAAAATGGCGCAATTTTCTAACGGTCGCGATCACGCGCATACTCGTTCATACTATTTCACGCTTAACTCTGTCATCTATAGTCATAGAATAAGATTTATCAAGATAATCTTTGGATCATAACATTAGTATTATTTTGTTAAATTTTTTATTCAATTATTTATTTAAAATTTATTTGATGTTGAAATCATTTCTTTTTACGATATATTTAACTATTATTTTAAATGAATGACTTTTATATTTATAATTTTTAACAATTTAAATAATCAAATTAATGAATTCATCAAAATTTTTAGCGAGTTACATATCATCGATTTGTAATTTTTGAAACGGTATTTTAGAATGTGTTTGAGCAATGTCAATGTTCATATTCTAATTATAGAAAGCTATATGATCATGAATTACGCATAGCTTTTATTATAAAAGAAAAATAATAACGTTATAAATAATTATAATTGTTATGTATTTTTCAATCAATTATTTATTTTTTATATTTTTAATATAATATATAAAGAATGATGCCATATTTGAGAATTTAAATATATAATTTGATGAGATAGAAAAAAATTTTTATATTCATTTTTTTGTTTTATTAAATATTATTTATACGTTAATATAGTATAATAAATTTTTAAATTTTCTTATTGTTGATCATTATTTATGTTTTTATTTTAAACTGTAAATTTCTATACAAATTTTTGATTTTAACCGAATTCGTTATTTTAATCTACTTAGAACTTTTAAATTTTAATATAATAATGTTGTTTTAATGATAAATATATTTTGAACTTCAATTTAAAATTTTGATTTTATTTTAAATTAACAGATATAATTTTTAATTTAGTATACTTGAAACTTTATTTTAATTTTATATTTATTATGGAAATGAAAAATCTTTTTATTATAACTTATTTAACTCATTTTTACTTATTTATTAATTTTTAAGTTATTTATATAAATATTAAAAGAAAATCTAGTATTGTTTTATTATTTAAATTTTTTTATAATTATCTTTAATATCGTAATAAATATAATCCATTTCTTATAATAGGATAATCTGGAAAATTTTCAATACGACCAAGTGCTATAACAACTGGACTTTGATCATAAATGTATTTTTCAGAAACTTCTCTTATTTTATCTACTGTTATTTTCTGTAATGTAAAATTATTATTTTATAATAAAAAAATAAATTTTTTAACATAAAAAAAATTTACCTCATATTCTGCAATTCTTTGTTCAATAGGTTCATAACATCCATATCTAAAAACATTTTCAACAATATCAAAAAAACGATTTGTTGGATCATCCAGTATTGCTAAATTATTTGTAACACATTGATTAACAGCTCGACAGACTTCTTTTTCAGTTATTGTTGTACATAATTTCATCCACTCTTTTTGTAATGCACGAATCATATCCTATATAAATGTTTCAAATATAATGATTGTTAAGATTGAATTTTCTTAAAATATTTAAAATATACCAAAAGACATAATTTGTCACAAACGAAATAACAGCCCCAAATACTAGTAGTCTGTGCCCAATTATGAAAAAAGGATTTGTACATGTAACACAAATCTGTATTGAATGCTAAGTGTGCAATATATGGTGCATTATTATTCCTTCCGCCTAAAGATAAGTATTACGGACATTTCATAGTTTGTATTAAATGATATTTCTAAATATAAGATTTTTGCTTACTACATGTCTTGTCCCAAGAACCTATAATTTCTTTAGCTACAGTAAGTGCAATATGATCTTCACGTTGTTTATAACTTGATCCTTCAAGTCCTATTGCTACATATCCTAATTCATTATCGTCATCTCTCAATCGTAATTCAGCAGCTTGATTATAGACATATTTATATATATTATATATAAAATATAATAAAGAAGAATATTGGAGTATATAATTATAATATAATTTAAAATTTTTTTTACCTGAGAATCGGTATTCAAGTGATTCTCTATAAGATTGCATTTTGTTAAAAACTCCAAATATTGATTTATAATCTTCAACATCACATTTAAAATGTTTACAAACAATTTCTTGCAATTCTTTTAAGTTAATGGATCCAGTGCTAATCATTGTCATGCAACATACTTGAAATAATCGATTACGAAATTCGATCAAATTTTTTGTACAAAATTTTCTAAAAATTTCATATTATAATTAATAAATATGCATATAATATTTATTAAATAATTTTTTATTTTTAAATTCTATTATTTTTGGATTTTATTTACTTTATTATATCAGTTTCAGGATATACACTATTACCAAGAGCAGTACCCTGATATGCAATACTTGGTAAATAATCCATTACAACTTTTTCTCTATCTGATTCTATTTGACAAAGTTCATGTAAAATTATATTCTTTTCTTGTATAACATCTTTATCACCTATCAAAATAAAAAAAGTATATTATTATAAGAAAAAAACTTCATAGATAAAAAAATTTTCAACTCACATATTTCTCCATTCAAAATTATATCTGCAAATAATTGAATGAGTTTATCTACTTTACATGAAAGTACTGTTCCATAAAAAATAAATATGTCTCGCATAGCAATAGCTGTAACTTTTCCACCAATTTCTTGTAATATATTTTCCAATTGTTCCTTATTTTTATTTTTTGTTCTCTATATTGGATATAAATATTTATAATATTAATTTTAATAAATTCTCTATAAATTCTTATATTAACTAAATAAAAAAATATCCATTTTTGTTTATCACGTATATGTTACATGTTTTGTTATATTTTTTTCTTACTTTGAAAAGTAAATGTTCTAAAAATAGAACGCTACCACGTTCTTCTGGCATTTCATACATTGCACCAGCTGGTACAAAACATCCTATGGTGGTAGTAAAAGAATTTCTATATTCACATATAAGGCGCAGACCATTATTCATATAACAAGATTCTACTGAATTTTCTGTATTTATATATGTATTTAAAACATTAGATGTCTGTCTAAAAATGTTTTTATAATCTTTATGTATTTTATAATGTTTATTTGAAATATAAACAAGTCCCTTAAAAGTAAATTTAAATAATAAATAATATTATCTTTAATACTTTCAATAAATGACTTAGAAAAATTATGCAACATACTCTTTTGATATATTTATATATAATATTGTTTTGCATCTGTAATAAATATTTCGAAATCATTTTTTAATTCAAATATAATATAATATGTTATTTATATTAGATACATATACAAACTGTAATTAATATTCATTTCTAAACAATTGAAGATATATAAATCTTTCTTTTACTTTTTTTTTTTTAATATATAGGGCGTTAATATATTAGAGAAACATTTTTGAAGAATTTATTTTAAATGTTAAAATAAACATAAACATTGATATAAAAATATTAAAATTTATTTATTAAACTTATTTATTTAAGTTAAATGAAATAAATCAGAAACAAAATGCTTTATTTCCATTACAACATCTCTTACTCTATTTCCGTTTCGATTCATTTTAATGTGAATTTAAATTGTTTGTATCTTAAATAAGTTTCAATCAATATTTTTGTATCAATTTTTGCATTTATTTTGATCTTTAATTAACATTCTAAAAATTTTCCATAAATATATTAAAATATATGAAAAATGATATTTTAATTAACTTTATATTAATTAATTTTTATATTTATTTTATATTATTCAATTAATTTCTATATTTCAATAAATAAAATAATTTTCTAATTTGATGAAATATAAGTTTTATTATATGCAATGATCTTAACAATATAATAAAAAATGGAATAATGTTCTATAATATAAAAATCAGTGATACAGTTTTTCATATATGAATATTCATATAATTTCAAATATAAAATAAAATATATATGTTTTGTAAATGATGATTAATATAAAATTTGACTTTATATTTAAAATCTATGTTTTTTTTTTAGAATTGATTTATACACATGTACATATGAAAATTTCTTAATTAATAATTTTTTTTAAATATTACTATCACTTATTGATATTTTTTTATTTTTCATTTATTTCTCTCTTTTTCTAATAAATAATTCATAAATCATTTTTTCAAAATATTTTTAAATATTTTAAACATATAATTTTTATTCAATAGATTTAATTTATGAAGTTAAAAAAGATTTAATAAAGAAATAAAAACATATTTTTTTAATATTATTATTCATAATATATTTAATTTCCTCTCTTTTTTTCCTTCTTCTTTTCTCTGCCTTCTACCCATTTCCCACTATCAAATAATATATTTAAAATATTTCATTCATATATAATAGTACCTTCATTTGATAATGAAATTTCATTATCATTTACAAATCCGATTAGTTATATTAAATACTATTGACATAAAATTAATATGATCAAATTGCACACAAATATTTATATACAATATAATAGAACTGTAATACATGTGAATAAATATATTGAACACATGGAAGTTATAAAATTAGAATATAAACTTTAAATACTATTCTATATTCCGCATTATAATTTATTTATTATTTAATAAAAGTAAAAAAAATTATTTCTAATTCTTAATTTGTTCTATTCATTTTTTGCGAAAAATAAATTTAACAATAAAATGTTGAGTCATTGATAATTTCAGAATAATTCTGAAAACTTTTTCAAATGTTTATGTTTAATTGCTGATGTTTAAACGTGTATTAAACATATATTTAAATCTCTTAATTATGTTAAATTTACACGTTTGATATCTGTTATAACTATGTTTCATCAAAAGAAGTAATTATTTTAACATTCGGTCTTTGTGATTTAAAAGTTTCAACACCTTGTCTTGTAACAGATGTGCCACTTACATCAAGGTGTTCGAGATTCGATGCATTTAAAGCCAAGTGAACAAGACTTGAATTTGTAACATGCGGATAATTTCTGAAACATGTAAAAAATTTTTTAGATTTATTTTATGAACTAGAAATTGCAGCATTTAATAATATCTAATATAATAATATAATAATACCTAACAACTAATGTTTTTAAATGAGGATTATTAAATATTCGTTTATCTCCTTCTACAACTATAACTTCTTCTGCAGAATTGTTGATTATACGGTCACATGTATCACTTCCAAGAGCACAGATTGCTCTGTCTGTTATTAAACAACGTCCAAACATATAATTTTCCCAACGAAATCCATCTTCGACAAGAAACTATATAAATAAAGAAAAGAACAAAAAAAAAATGAGTAAAATAAAAATTATAAAATAAAATTGGAAATATAAATGTTAATATATTCGTGAAATATTTGAAAATACAAAAATTGATATACAAAAATGTTGATTAAGATTTATTTATTTATTAAATTAAAAAAAATTTAAATTAGAAAAGAGACAAAGTAGTAAGATATAACTATGTTACATTATTTTTGTCTCATTTAACACAATTTTATCTAACAACAATTTCAATTATTTAATAAATAAGTTTCAGCCAATATTTTTGTACATTATCTTTTATTTGTTTTGGTTTTAGAATCGATCTTCCAAAGATATGTTACGAATATATTAGCACTTTATAAATGTTAAATTAATTTTATAATTTTTGCATATTATTATTATACTTGTGCAAGATTTCCATCTTCATATACAGGAAGTTGATTTAAAACTTCACGTTGTAAAGGTCGAGGTTCTGAATCAGGTGATTCTGCATTTCGTAAACTGGAAGGACATTCTAAATAAAGATGTGTCAAAGTTTTAGTACAACTGAAACATCCAACTTCACTATCACCAAGTGCAGTATCTCGTAAATCAAGAATCTGAAATATATAATAACTTAATTACTTGAATTATTAATTTATTAAATGAAAACATTAAGAAAAAGATTGTTTACTTCTAATGTTTTAAATCCAAATCTTGTAGCTAAACTAGTATATGCTACACATTCACCTAAACGGTGACAAGAATTTAGCCTTAATTCTTTCAATTTTGGCATTTTACTAATAACCAATAATGAATGTGGAGTAAACCATTGACAATTACTTAGAATTAAACACTGAAAAATATATAGATATTATAAATCATTAAATATTATTTATAAATATGTATTAGTAAAAATTCAAATAAAATAAAATAAAAAATAATAATAAAAAGAAGAAAAGAAATAATAAATGAAATTATATTTAATTGGTTCTTGTTTTTATATTATTAAAACATTAATATTTGTCACAGATTTGGAAGAAAGTGAGTTACTTAAAAATGAACCTACCAAATAATTATTAAGTGAAAGAACTTCTCAATTTGCAATTAGTGTAAGCAGTTGTTCTGTAACTTACAGTTATTTATTTATAATAAAATATAAAAAAGTGGTACAACAAAACTAATCAAATATATATGTATATACTAAAAGAAAAGTGAAAATACATGCAACTGAAAAATGAGATTCTTACTGTTAAATTAGGCATATGGAAATTCATTTTGAAAAAATATGATTTATTACTACGCAAATATCCCATTTTGCAACCTTCTAGTGAAAGTTTTTCTATTGTACTTGGAAAATCTGTTATTTGAATCTGTAAATAGAGATACATTTATTTAAAAGGATTTTTTTAATTTTTTATCTAAAAGTAATTAAATATTTAAATTTACCTTGTCTCCATTAATGCAATATTCCTCAATAATCAATTCTTTCAATTGAGTGCATATAGTCTTAATTGAATTAAAAAAGCAAGGACTAAGTTCTGTGTCATGTTCACAATATAAATCACCACGCATAGCAAGACTTGTTGTTATAGGTTGAAGAAATTTTATATATTCTTTTAAGTCATTTAATAACATAGGTGTTTCTCGAAAATCTACCCTTCTCCATAAAGTTTTATCTTGTGCTATTTGGCCTAATCGTTGACAAGATCTGGAAAAAATAATGAAAATAATGAAAAAATTATTTATATATATTTCAATATATATTATAATGTATTAATATATTAATAATATATTATATATTTTATATATAATCTTAAATTTATAAAATATTAATGTGATTATATATATAAAGTTTTTTTTAAAACTTACAAATTTATTGCCATAAGATCTTTAGGATTCAAATATTTAAATATATTTAACAAAACATCATCTGAGAAGTCTAATATATGTGGATGAATTATTATATTATTTGTCTTCTCATTTTCTTCAAATTTAATACGTTTCATATCATCTTCACTACTTGAAGCTTTAGGAGATAAAGATCTACTGCGTTTCATTTTCATTTTTTTTTTACACCTATACAAAATAGAAAATTAAAATAAAATATTTTTATATCTTAAATTGAAATACAATGAAATATAATAAAATTTCAAATTTTTAAAAGTTTTGTATTAAGATTTTGTATATTATATAAATAAAAATTTTTTATTATTAATTTTGCATAGTCATCATTTAATCCAAAAAATCAATTTGAATAAGAGTTTGATTAAAAATTAAGTTTATAAATATAAATAATTATATATACATAAAACAAATTAAACGATTAGGTATCGAGAACACTTGTTCTTCTAATGGTTTTAATTCTTTTTGCATTTTGTTTCAATAATTTTAGAAAACTGAAAGTGTTTTCTGTTTTCAAATTGAAATTGACATAAAAACACAAAGAAAGTTTTGTTCACAAAACAGTCTAATTCTGACTGCTGAATAAGCTCTGTTTCTTTGGCTGAAACCCAGAAATAGTGATAAAATTTCTGCCAACCATATGCCACTATGATCAATGATCCTATATAAATTTTTATATATTTTATAAATAAAAGTAGATATTCTAATATATTTAAAAGAATTATTTATAAAAAAAAATTATAAATAATTTAAAAAAAAAATTATATTACAATAATATTTAGTCTTATTTGCAAGAAATAAAAGTTTCTAAATTATACAATTTATATATATTATGAAAAAAATTTCTTTTATATCAAAAACATTTAGAAATCATCACAATCTAAACAAAAAATTAATGCTTAATAAAATTTAAACATTTATTGAATATTGACAACATAATACATATATAATAATTTATATTTCAAAATTTTTGTCCAATTAAATGAAATATCTTTTATTTAAATAAATTATAAGAATTCTCATATTCTCAAAAATCAACAAGTAATAACATAACCTTATGTTTGAAATAGTATCATTATATTATTAACACTTACCTGATTATTACCTACAATATCAAATAAAGAGAATTATATTTAAACAAATATTAATTTAAAAATTAAATATCTTAACATAATGTATTTAATTTATTTTATTTATTGAAAATATATACACAAAATGATGATTGCATATACTTTCCTCGTCAAACTAAACTTCTTACAAACTTGACTTTAGTTTATCATAATAATATCTTTTAGATATATGAAAATTATTTTTAATAGAAATAAATTTATAAAAAATGTATAAAGAAATGTAAAAACATATAATTTAAATTTTATTAATAAGTCATATATGTAAAGAATAGTTTTAGAAAACATTTAATAATAATACGATTTCAAATGTTTTCAAAATCTCAAATTAATTATGAATGGAAACGAAACGAGAACAATATAAATATCAAATTAATTTTTTTTAGGTTTATTTCTTTTTTTAAAATGTATTTTATAATTTTTAAACTATTTTTTTTAAATTATTGGTAGAATATATATAATATTAAAAATTTTATATTATTAAAAATTTTATATTATTATTTTAAATAATAAATTTCAAAATTTAATTGTTTAAAGAATTGTTTATTTAATAAAAAGTATTTTTTTTAAGTCGATTCTTTGTTATCTATATATAAAAAATTAATGATTAAATTTATATTGAAGATCATATTGTGTATGTACATATTAAAACATATTAGCTATTAAATACTTCAATTTATAAATTTAAAAAAATATTATTTTTATATTTATAAATAGTTATTCAATAAAAATGAAAATTAAAAATTCATTCTCAAATTCATTCAATAAACAAAATTAAATTCGTTTAATAACAAAATTTCCCAATATTTAAAATATTTTTTTACGCAAAATGAATTCAAGTAAAAAAATTGTTAAATTTCATTTAAAAAAGAAAAATTATATTTTTTAACATTAATACATCTATGAAAAAAATCATATCACAGAAGGAAAGGAAGAAAAGGAAACTTATTAAATATTATAAAACATTTTTCTAACTCTGAAAATATATAATTCGATTCAGTTAAAATTTCCTCAATAAACAAAATTAAAATTACTCTATATGTGGGATTAAAATAAATCTTATATTACTATTTTTAGAATATTATAATATATTTAAATATAATATTAGTTGGAAAATATATACAATGTAAAATATAAAAATTAACAATATAAATTTCAAAAATAATCATATCTAAATAATTAATGTCATTTTATTTGCATATAGCAGGGGGCTATTTAAAATCAAAAAATTATTTGTAGATTTTCTCATGAAATAAATGATTTTTATGATTAGGCACAAAGTATGCAATTAATAAAAGCATTATATCTTTGGAGTTATATCTATTTTACAATACTTTAATATGAATAGAGGTATTTTCTGCTTTGCTGAGAATACCATTTCCTTAGGAACAGTGCTAACAGTTTTTTGTCTTATTCACTGGACCATGTTATATACAATGTCATTTCTATAAATCTATATTTCAAATGTACATCTAATGCTAACTGATATAGAAACACAGTCTTAAACTCATTACTTCTGTTTTGATATATATATATACAAGACTTTATAATAAAATAAAGTCCAATCAGTAATTAAAATAAATTTTTTGTACTGTGGAATATTCATTTACATTTTAAGACATTTGTTATGCAACAACAAAATCTTATTAATATATGTTTGTAATAAAAATCCTGCGCTCAAATTTAATTGAAAATTTCATGTTAATGTTTATTTTAATAATGCATTAATTCTGTAAAAAATATGATATAAAATTGTGCAATTTAAATTTTTTATTAACTTGTTACATAAGATATAATGAAAAAGATGCAGATAAATTAAATATCAAACAATAATTTGGAATAAATTATAAATTTTTGGTAATATACTATTATTGTGCAAAAATACAAAATTTAATATATATATACTGAGAATATACTTTTGTTATATTGTTATATTAAGTTATAGTTTGCCCCCTGTTTTTGATTTTGAAAGTGAAATTAAAAAAAAACCATATAAATTAAATGATAATGCTAATTATCATAATATACAGATGCAATAGAAGTAATGTGGCTTAAGAAATATAAATTCTTTTAATTTTTCTTGATTTTGATCAATATATACTGAAAATTTAGCAAGAAATTTAGATAATTATAATTTCTCATATACTTATTTTCAAAAATTCATTGTATGGCACGCTTTTATTTGTTAGAAAATAACGATTTTGAGATCGTTGTACTCTAGTGCTATACAATATACATATATGTATATTGTAAATACACTTAACTGAAATCTTAATTATATTGGAGCTAATCTGATTAGATTGCACCTGATGTTGTTATCTTACTATTACCAATTTATATATAATATAAATTTCTTTGGTCTTAGATTTTGTTTTGTATTCTAATTTACATATAAATCATATAATTCTAAAATACTTTGCAAAATGGTCATAGATTGTTGCAATCACTGCTCAAAAAAAGAAAAAAAAAAAAAATAAAAAACAAATTTATCTACTTTTGATAACTATATATCTAATATATATAATTATAAAAAATATTGCACAAAATAAAATATAAAACAACCATTAATTCTTGCATGACAGATGCAGGATTATTTTAACACAACAATATTCATACTTTGTTTCTTATTTTAAAGTGTTATAATTGTAAATAAATAATATTGAAATTCAATATTTTTTCAATAAATTAATCAGAATTATTGGTTGTCTCAAATTATATTATAAAGAAAAATTAAAGCATCGAATTCAGATCTGATGCATCACAAACAAAACTTTTGTTTTTTAATGTTAATAAACATTATTATATGTATATATTTATAATATTTTGAATCAGAATTCTTTTCTTTTAAAAGTAAAGAAAAAAAATTCTTTGTTTTTCTATGCTATATCATATTGATTTTGCATCGATCTGCTCAGAATCATCGCTCAGAATTTATTTGAAGATTAATATCTTAATATCATTTTCATTATTCATAAAAAATATAATTTAAATATTGATTATATCAATATCAATATCAATAATTAATAAAGGTAACAAAAATATTATATATTAATGAAATTTATAAAAGAATATGATTATTTCTAGTATATTATTTTAATTTTATTAATATAAGCAATTAAAATAATTGATAATTCATACTGATTATATATTGATTTTATTTTAACTTAATGAAAATATATTTCTAATCAGGTATTGGAACAACCTTATGACTATCCATACACACTTAAATTTTGTAGCACACAATCTGTTTGAACATTAAATAACAGTGTGCATTCATATAAAACAGCATGCATTTCATATTTGTAATATTTTACTGGCAAAATATATACATAGTGTATAATTTCAAGTTAAGCTCATAAGCCACTGAAGATTCTACTTTCTGATTGATAGAATATTGATAGAATATAAATGATAAGTTATTTAACTTTTAATTTATTTAAAATAATAATATTTAAAAATTCATTTTTTTTGTCTTATTAAAGTACAAAAAATTTCCTTCTTGAATAACAGAAGGCATAGTTTAAGAAAATATTTTAGCGTGTCATAAAATTTCTCTTGTTCACATAACAACAATTTTGTGATTGTTACCATTTGGCAAGAGAACATAATAGACACGCTTCCCCTTATCTCATTGAAACTCTTGTATATTATTATGATATTGATTATTAAATGAACCATTTGGTTGTTCATTTCTTTCAATAACACTTTGCATTTCAACCGTTGATCCATTATTAGACTGTCCATTGCTATTATTTAAGTTCCCAGAATTATTAACATTACTTGTTACTATGTTTATATTATTTGTATTAGATTGTTGTGTTTGTTGTTGTTGTTGCTGACCATTTACAGTATTATGAGAAGAATTATTATTCTTTGATCTGTGCCTAAGTTTATGAGTTGTAAGATATTGTTTTACAGAAAATGCTTTGTGACAAATATCACATTTATATGGTAAAGGATCCTGACAATTTACACCATCTCCAATAGTTGAAGCATGAGTTGTTAAATGCATTAAATAGTAATGTTTTACTACAAATGATTTTCCACAAGTTTCACAAATATACGGACCCGATACACCATGCGTTTTACGATGTTTGTGAAGATTGTCTTTTCGAGAAAAATTTTTACCACACATTTCACACTGATGCATCTTTTCACCTGTATGAGATACAGAATGCCTAACTAAATGTTCTTTGCGACTAAATGCTTTTGAACACGTAGTACACACATAGGGACGTTCACCAGTATGTAGTTTTCTATGTTGATAAAGATGTTCTTTCCGTTTAAATGGTTTACCACAAACATCACAACTAAATGAATTGCTATTATTTTGTAAAGAATCTTCTTTATTATTACTATTATCAGATGTTTCATTTAAAAGATTTTGAACAGAGCAATTATGACCATTTAATTGATTTATGGAAGAAAAAATTTTGCCACATTCTTTACAAGTAGTATTTCTATGATTTTGTGAAATAACTTGAGGATTGACAGTAATTAGAGATGTTGGTTCAGGTCCTGGTTTTATTCTTAGAAATTCGGAGATTTGCCCGATTGAGTTGCGAGATATTGTATCTTCCGACTTAAATTCTTTTGTCTCTTCTCGAACAGTTTGTGTAACTAAAGGTGCTTCTTTAAATCCTAAATTTAAAAATACTTCTGGTGTGGCTTGTACAGTATAACTTTGTACATTTTGAGTACCATTTTCATCTTTTGGAGTTTCAGATTGTACTTTCTGAATGATTTGTTGATTTTGTTTAGCATCAGGTTCTGATTTTAAAATTATATTATTATTTTGATGCACTATTTGTGTTTGAGGCTCTTGCTTAATAGGAAATTCTTGTTGTGTAGCAATTTGTACTTGTTTTTCAATTTGTTGAAGTTGTCTATGTTTTTCAAACTCTCTTTGCTGTCTTTGTAATTGTTGAATCTGTTGTGTTATTTGTGACTGATTTTGCTGCTGTTGTTGACCAACTTGTGTTTGATTTTGTGGTTGAGAAATTTGTTGAGAAATTTGTCTTTGTGATTGCATTTGTTGATTTATTTGGCCATGATTTTGAATTTGATTTTGCACTTGTTGAATTTGCGATGTAGAACTTTGTTGATCATTAATTTGATTTTGTGGTTCATTTGATTGT